CATTTTCGCCTCCATCGGAAATGCAGCCGCCGCAGCCGGGATTTGAACCCGCGACCTGTGGATCAGTAGCCGAGTACCTTCGCCACTAGACCACCGCGGCGGAGCAGGAATATAAATGTTGTTAGTGGAGTTACTCGACCAAGAACTTGAAGCAAAATAAATGCTATAGCTACAACAGCCACCTTACTGTTGTAACCGCGCTACTGCTAACCATGTCAATATTGTCTAAAAAAAGTGTTAAAATATTAGCATTTCATTATGCTATAATATAGTATTTTTTTACACTGGAAGATGGTGGCATTGTATAGTATTGACCCTGATGCGTAACTGCTGAATGTGTTATGGTTCTAAGCCATTTACACCTGAAATGGTTCTCACTTTTTTTTTTAATTTTGGATATTTAATCTTCGAAATATTTTTGTTTGCTTTAGGGCCTCGATAAAATATGTCGTTGTTTGGTTTTATTAGGCACACCTTGGAAAGTAGACGGCTTGTTAGTTTTTCATAATATCGTTAATCACCACTTTCTGCCCAATGAGCACTAGCGTCATGCACGGCCACATAAATGAGCACAAGTTGCTTTATTTTACCGTCGCAGTTACGCTGTGGGCAGGATGCTGTGAGAACATGGCAGCGCATAAGCTGACAGTGTGCCGTCTTCCCACGTTGTATACTGCACGACAATACAGAGCGCGTGATTATATTAACGGGAAGGCGCGTTTATGCAGATAGTGGCATAGATTGAAGGGCGTTGGAGGCGTTAATGTACGGATGGAGGGTAACGCGCGTCGATTGGAAGCGGCACGGTATCGGCTTCAACGTGACAAGGCGCCGCCACGCGTGTTCTGCCGGCGTGTCGGTGCCGGCAGGCGCGTTTCCTGCACGACACGTCGCAGAAGCGTGGCGTCACCAACAGCCGGCGCAATTCGGGGGCGGAAGGGGAAGCAATGATGGTTGCGTCCTCCCGCAATGCAACAAAAAAGTAAAAACGTGGATGAGCAAAGTGTTCAGCGAGAGGCATTATTGTGACGCGAAGCCAGCACTTTTCTTTTATGCCCCCTATTTTTCTTGGACATCCTACGAAAACACCAATACAGCATTGTTTTTCTACCCGGCGAAACATATGGCTTCTGTGGTCGGTTGTTTGGCCTGGTCCCAAATGAGGAAAACCTTAACGAAGCAATCTCTAAACAAGTGTGTCGTCAGACACAGCCATCCCATCTTGCATCACTAAGCCCATCGGGCTCCTCAGTGTGTCGGGCTATACAAGCTGATGCCATAGAAAGGCTGCATTGGCAGCGTACGCGCGAAAGCTTGTGTGTGTGTGTGTGTGTGTGTGTGTGTGTGTGTGTGTGTGTGTGTGTGTGTGTGTGTGTGTGTGTGTGTGTATGTGTGTGTGTGTGTGTGTGTGTGTGTGTGTGTGTGTGTGTGTGTGTGTGTGTGTGTGTGTGTGTGTGTGTGTCGGAGGGGGGGGGGGGTGGTACTGCGCAACGTGCGCTCATTTCCTCAACGTTTTTTTCTCCATGATGTAAAAATGGCGTCCAGCTAAGTGCGCTCCATCTCCGAAAACAAGGCTATTGGAAAAACGTGCAAGGCCGTCATAAACATATGGCGTTGGTTGTTTCCAATATACTGCATTTTATTGTACAATTGGTCCGATGTAATTATGTCTAAGCGTTCCACTCCTCTGGATTGCGTTAGCAACATGGTGGAGCTACCAGATATCACAATGTTCGCTTCTTCTGAGACAAGCTTCACTTGCATTTTTCGGGGCAAAGCGCCTTGAACCGTGGATACTTCCCTCTGTAGTCGTAGTAGTACTATATAGCCACCTGAATAGTTGTTCAATAGATGGCGTTGTTTGTATATGTCCTTTAGGGTTCCTCGATGCGCGCGCCCCCTTGCAGGGTGGAGACAACAGCGTCGTCTGCTACGGCGTCCGCCATTAGGATGCCCTCTCCGCAGGCCACCTATAGCCACGATAGGCAGCCAACGGGCGTCGCGCGGCTGCATGCAGAGTTCGTTGTGTCAAAACGAGTGGTACTCAAACAACATGACAAAAATACGAAGTTTTCGCATCGGGAGTGTCAAGTTCTCAGATTTCTATTCTCTAATCTTTATTTTTAAAGCGACATTAGCAGCTGGAGTTGTTCGCAGCAGAATACTACCGTCCACGCCAGCCACGTTAACATCTTCAGTTAGCATCTTCTTGGGCTAGTCGGTAACTATTTATACTGGTTAAAGATGCGAAACACACGCACGCAAGTCCCATAACCTTTCATTGTGTCTGTGTGTTTTGTGCCTCTCACAAAAGTGTAAAAACAGTTTGCCTGCCGGTCAAAAAAAGAATTTAAAAAAAACAACGTGCTGTCACGAGAAAAGAGAAAAACTGTGATTGCACACCATATTTTCAGATCTAGTTTTCGAATTATTCATCAGCTACTCCATTTACGGACCGCACCCTGCAACGCACAGTATTCTGAATTTTGTTTTCATCTTTTTTACCTTACTGTAAATAGCAGATGGGCAAAAAAATTGTTCAATACATATACTATTTGGGGCTCTACATACGGCTTTTATGGGATTAAATCATGACTCGCACGCAGACACTGTATATCAAACCAGGTTGAGCGTGTTTTCCGCTGGAATACATTATAAATTAGTAACTGTAATAAAGCGTTCGTCGATATCGTTAAAATGAAGCGACCACACGGCTTCTCAACAATAAGAAAGCAAATTGCGTTCAATATACGGCAATTTCTGATGCCATAGCTTGTTTATTTCATCGATAACTTTAATATATTTCAAAAACAAGTGCTACAACTCACTGCAAGTTAACCGCATCGCATGTCTTGCTTCCACTCCCACTGGTTCTCGCTGTTTCGAGCTGGCGCAGGTGAATGCGAAGCCTTACTCGTGCATAACTGGATATCAACATTTTTTCCAGAGAACCCTTGTGTTGCTGGCATGCCTGCACACTGCACTTGGTCCTCTTGATTAAATATTCAGTTACAGCTTTGAGAGGGGACTTCAGGGTGAACAGGTTGTCTGTCCAGGATGTGATCCCTTTAAAGTGTTCTTCACAAGATATGAGCGAGCTCATAACCTCATTGCTCGGATAACACAAGTTCTCACCATCCTGAACATACTCCTTTAGTGCAGTTAAATATGCGTGTTCATGGCTCGCCGAGCCTTGCATTGCAGCCCTGCACTGCTTGCAGTCCGTTTTCTTCAATATTCTTTTCACAAGGAATCCACCTATATGGTGTAAAATGCTGCACTCTATTGAAGTCAACGCTTCAATGAAAAGAATTTCCCCATCATCAATTTCCTCTTCATCATCTCCTCGACACTCTCTTTTCCCTTGGGAAATCATGTCAACCAGGTACTCAGAGTCGTCATTCTCATAACTAGAGTTCGCTGGCGTGTGCAAAAACTGGCTGACGCACACAAGCTTTAAAGCGCATTTCATGTCGTACGCGTTAGGGACGGGTTTCCTTTGGCGCACGATAGAAAAAAGATTCTCCAGGCAGTCCTGAAGTAGTCTCCCAGTGAGCAAGAACTTGTAGCCATCCGATTTCAGTAAAATATTTTGCAAACGAAGGACCACTGTCGTTGCAACCATGAGACCAGCCTGTGAGGGCTTCCACTGGGATGTACTTCCCATCTGCATGCCTTGTATTGTCTCCAATGTCAAGCGCAACGTTTCCAGGGCCTCGTGGTACTTTGCCATGTCTCGACAACTAAGTGCGACAGACGGATGTCGTGAGGACATCAGCTTGTACCATTTTGCGATCAGGTCCAGGAACCATGCTGTAGTTTCAGCTTCTGGTTCGAGCACTTTCTCTCTAATTAGGCAACGAATGGCAGCTGGGGATTCCTTGAAAAACTGCACCGCTATGCCGACTTTCATTTTCGTGTGATGGCCTTTGCTGATGTGTACTTCTGAAAGTTTGGGTGCAATTTTCCGCTCTTTATCGGAGTCATACTCTACGACAGCATGCACATGCTCCAGTTTGACTTTGTTTGAGGGTAAGCCATGGTGACAGACAGTTGCGTCGCTCAGTGTAAAATCAACAGAGTTCAAAAGCTGGCCTCGAATATTTTTTATCACGTGCGCGGCATCTGCAGTGAAGAAGAGTTCCTTTCCCTCAAGCACAGGATGAGGGATTGCGCACACCGTGTTTGAGTTCCTATGGCTAGAAAAACCAAACTCGCGCCACATCGCTCTGTTGGAGGCTCCCATGTCAGAGGTCACCACAAGCACTCTCAGGGAAATATCTGCGCAGAGCTGCACGATTTCCAGCACAAAATTCTTGAGCAGACAGCCGTCGACCGAGCTTCCAGTGAAATGATACGCAATGACCTGTTTCCATCTTGAGTTCAATCCTCCGACCATAAACACCAAGCAATGACAGGCGGGTTCATCTGGTTCCGCTGGGAGTGTCTTTCCTCCAAACACGACGTCTTCAGCACGGTCGAGCTCATACCCGCGGGCAATTTCCATTTCGTCGAGATAAAGCACACAATCTCTTTCAACGTCTTCCAAGCCCTCTGCTTTTGCTCTGAGCAACTCAGTAACTTCCGTTAAAATCCCAGGCAGGAACTTGAGCCCTTGAAGACGACGGACAAGAGTTCTGTTGGAAGGCAGTGGATACTCAAGTTTTCTAAGGGTTTCATAGCCTGTTGTTCCACTTGCGAATTTTATCTGAAAGGCTTGTTTAATTGTTTTTGATGACCAGGTAGTACCTCGGTTGCTGTTTCGTGATAAGGCTCGCATTTGGTCTTCATTTAGGAACTTCAGTTTTTTTCGTAAAATCCCACTGGCATATTCCAACTTCTGAAGCTTCTTTTTAATTGAATTAGTTTTAGCACTTGCTTTGCTATGATCTTCACGGAGTTTCGCGTACTTTGCCTTCATGTCCTGTAGCTGTTCATTCACTTCAGCACACGACCTGTTACTGCACTTCTCTTCCGACAATTCCACATGGGTTGCGGAAAGTGGGCATGCAACTAGCTGAGAATCATCTGTTGTAGGAACTTCAGTTTCTGCCGTGGCACTTGGGCTAGGTAAGTTGCTCATCTGATCACGAGACATCTCCGTGCCATCACTCGGTAGTGGCTGCAATTCTTGATTTGCTGTTTGTTGCATACCAGCTATGTCGTTGACATGTTGTTCTTGAATTTCTGTCGCTGAGGTATCAGAAGCATGGGGTTGACTGTGCAGAGAACAACTTTCTTCTGCGGCCGCAGGCGTCCCTTGTGGTAAAAACCTTTCTTTTGGTGGCTTCCTGTGCTTAGGCATCGCTAAAAAAACACACATATGTTGCATATCAGCTGGCAGATTCTTTTATCATTATGAACGAACATGCTCTGAGCGTCGCTACGCATAGAAATAAAAATAAACAAAGTGCGAAGTTGTCATTATTCTGCTTCTGGATGGCAGGTGGGGTTAATTCACCTCTCGATAAAAAAGGAGGAAACGAGCGATTTCATTGACCGAAGGTATTAGGAGCGTTTTTCTGTAATGTGCGTTTTTTTTCTGTTCTTAAAGAAATACCTGGTTAGACCCTCCATGTGACTCTTAAGAAGGCCGGCAATAACAGTGCTAAACGTGGAACTGACTAAGATTGGAACAAGGAACAAAATTAGGAAGCAAACTCGCTAACTTCCGTTAACGCGAAAATAAGTGGATTCCTACCTCTGAACGAAAAGATTGTTGGCAGAGCATTCGGCTTCAATTTTTTTCAGCCGTCCGCACGGTTCTGCTCAAATGCGGTTTCTTCGAAATGTCCCTGCAGCGCGGAAACACGCGATGATCAGGTCTCAAAGATCTTCACAAAAACCTTCTAAGCAGACCACAACAGCCAACACTTTCAGGGACATGCGTAAAGAGTGATAAGGGAATTTTAGGGGCTGTTGCAGTGTGAGTTAATAATAAAGAAGGGAAAATTGTCAATTTCTTTCTGAAAAAACAGGGACAGTGAGAAAATATTCTTTGATAATGAACTGATGGGATGCGTGCTTTCAATGTGATGTTACAAAAACAAATTGTTGAAGGCGCCGGTAGCAACAAGCGACAACGTAGGCGCACATCTCTGCGCAATTGCAGCTTGTGTACAACAAGCGATCAAGAACAACGCATTTTGTGCTATCCAAAATGAACAATACGCATGTACATAGCATGCAAATGAACGAGTATTGCACCCGGTGCACTGGTGATAGCGATTAAGCCCGATCGGGGTCAGATTTCTGAACAGTCATTGGCGTCCTTCTGCACCAAAAGCCTTTCACATGAGTAACCAACAAGCCCACGTTGCAACCCTCATCGACTACAGTCCTTCTGCAGCTTGCGTATAAGGGAGTCAATCACATCAGGCTCGATCGCGATCAAAAATGCTGAAATGGCATAACTTACGCTGCACAAACACGAACGGTCCGTGGGTTGCCACTTGTCGCGCTTGATCTTTACCAGCCACAGGAGTCGCCTTTTCGGATCTTTCGGAAATCTGAACATCCTATAGCCATTTCGCGAGTGGTTTGTGCACTGTGGCACGCAACACCCGGGCATTTTGCCCGAGAAAACGCTATAAAACGCCGCGCACCTGTCTCACACAAACCAGACGCGACGGGGCTAGCACACTCTAGCGAGGCGGGGGGGAGCCGAATGGCGGCCGCCGATCGGAAGGCGGCATTCACCCCCTCACAGAATGACTTCACCCTCCAAGGCGGCGGACGGGAGAGCGCGCATCCAGGAACCCTAATGTCCTTGGGAATAATATAACTAGCTGTCGTTAGTGGTTTCACAGCATATCCGCGATGTGAATGATGATGAGTGGGGTGAAGCGTCCGCCTGTCCATTGTCCATCCGTCCGCACTCCGTCCGTACAGGCTTTTGTCTAGCCGTCCGTCCGAGAATCCATCCGTCTGTCTCTCTATCCGTCCATCCGACTTTTCTGTCCGTCCATCTATGCTTCCGTCCGTCCTTGCGTTCGTCAGTCCGTCCGTGCTTCTGTACGTGCGTCCACTTCTGCTTCTGTCCGTCTGCCTGTCCATCCATGCTTCCGTCCGTCTGTGAGTCTGTCTGCGCGTCCATCCGTCTGTCTGTGCGTCCATCTGCCCGTTCATACGTCCGTCCGTCCAGGCTTCCGTGCGTGTCTGCTTCCGTCCATCCATTTATCTATGCCTAAGACTGTCCATTCATCCGTCCGGACGCATGAAGGACGGACACATGAATGAACGGACATCTCGCTCCACTCCTTATCATTCACTTCAATAGTAGGCTGTGATTTTTTTATGTCTGTCTGTCTGTCTTAACACAGTGTCTAACTACAGAAGTCCTGGGACCCTCAATTCCATAGCCTATTCGCAAGCAAAATACACGGTATAAGAGAAGAGGATGTTATTTATTTATTTATTTATTTATTTATTTATTTATTTATTTATTTATTTATTTATTTATTTATTTATTTATTTATTTATTTATTTATTTATTTATTTATTTATTTATTTATGAGGGCGCAGAGAACACACTGCACTTACTTCATTCTTGCTCAAAAAATTTATTCGCATTATGTTCGTTGTGATGCCTACGCACAAGAAATTCATTCGATTAAAATAAATGGCATTGCACAAATATATTTCGCTTTGCCCCACCTTCCGCACAAAACGGGAAGGTCGAAAAGAACCACACCGCGTCAGGCAGTTTATAATTGGCCACGTCAACATCACGTTCCTATGCAGCTTTTAAAATGGCTTCGTTTGTCGAGGTGGGGAGAAGGGGAAAGGACTTTTTTTGTCATCCACATAAGGCCATCGGCAACTTACGCGTTGCGATATTAGCGCGCATGCTTTACTTTTCGCTTGTTCAGTAGAGAAATAGCAGAGCACGCAAACTTTCTCAACTTCCTAAATCTGATATTGCGTAATGGGTTAGTTCCTTGAGTGGTGCCTTGAGCCGTTCCCTCTCTACATCTCAAAGACCTACTTCTTGCTGCCCGGAGTTTCTGAGAAATCCTCAGCATCTGTCAACTTTACAAATGGTCGAGTCTCCACTAAATAAATATCAGATTCGTTCGCGTCGACTCATTAAAAGTTTAGCTCTAGAACTCTGATATTTGTTCTATACTTCCTCGGCTTTTGCGGAAACTCTCATAGAGGCGTTTTTGGTTCCTAATCGTTGTTTTTGTATGTTGGCCTGCTTTTAGAAGATCCTTATTTCGCCGGGGAGTAAAAATGTCAGTACTGCATGTTGAGAATGTCGGAAAGCTGTATTCGGCAGACAGCTATAATATAAGAACGCAAGTCATGTAATTGAAGACGCAAGAGATTAGAAATGAAGTGCATATTTTGAGTACCCATGTTTTCTTTCGTCGGCGTTTTTTTTTACAATTTTTTTCTGGGTGTTTACACTTGTACGCTCTACCTTTGCCAATGGTGAGCTATAAATTAATGAATTTTTTTGAGTTCTGAAACTTCCACTAGATTTACTCTCCGTATAGTGGGTTCCTTAGTTTACCAGTTTACGTTTTGTCGTATTTTATTGACAGACTTGGGCTTTGAACGGTAGCAAAAATCAGCTTTTAATTTTTGTGTTTTTTATGGCGCAGACAACATTTTTGTGTCCAAATCTTCTTTTGGGTTATCCAGCAGCATAGCTGAAAAAGCAAAAATTCCATTTGCCTTTTCACTCTAAATAGTGGTAGCGCCAAAATATAATACGGCAAAATTATCTTGCGCTTGTAGGGGTGACACAAGCATTCGTTTGAGACAGCCTGATTAATGGATTTTGACATGCAGCGTCAAGCATAGGGGCTCCAAAAGTAAAACAGAGCACCCGAGCTCTGGCCAAGCTACGCAAAAGTGAATACCAGGGCACTTCATCAGAGAAGTGATTCGCTATTTTTATGCGGGAATGCGCCTGAAGATAGTGTCATCATTCAAACACGAAAATTAAGAACCATTTCTCCGATGAAGCGCGCTGGTATTCACTTTTGCGGGACCTTGTCACAGCTCGCGTGCTCTGTTTTACTTTTGGAGTACTTTTATACGTAAAGTACAAAAAAAGGAGCCCTCAAGCAGTCGCTTATCTTTTATGCTATTGGGTAGCTGCAGAACCGTGATAAAAAATTTAAAAAAATATCTAATAATGTCACGTCATGAACACTCCTTGTCTCTTTTATATTTTTGCACATGTGAATAGCTTTTAATAACATTTATGCAGTTCAGCGTCAGGAGCTGTTGAATTGCCTTGTCTTTGTGTTGGAGTACTTCAAAGGCGCGTAATTGAACAGCTTTTATTGCGACCAAATGTTATCGCTGAGGAAAGTTAATGTGAATAATAAGACATACCCTATTCGCATGTTTACCCAGATGGCAGTTTTTCAAAGGCCTGCCAACGTGTTCTTCTCTGCATCCATCCCTGCGGTTCCTACGAAGTGCTTCTTGGTGTTCATTGGGTACTTTCTCAACGCGAACATCTTTAAAGCGAGGGACTTCCAGCCGTAAACAACACAGTAGTTTTTTTTTAAAGACTATAGTCTTTCTTGAGGACCTTCGACGCAAATATTTTGGTGTGTATGTCTGTCTGTACATTTGTCTGTCTGTCTGCCCTTAACGATACACTAAACGGCACCAAACGACACTCCAAACGGCCGACCCTATCACCCACCAATATTGCTCAAAATTTAGCGTTCTTACTTAAAAAGCAATTATTGCGCATATCCGAGGCACCATAACAACACGTCAATATTCTGAATGTGTGTCTTTTTACTAGAAAAAGCATACATAAATAATTCTAAGGACCGTAGCGTTTACCACGCGGCGCTGAAAATGCAACGCTTCCACAAAAATGCAAATGTTTTCAACGCTTTGCTATGACGACACAGTAGTGGCACCTACCCGTCGCCTTGCGTTTTACACCTTATCACGTACGAGACGGGCGCGCAGGTCGCGCGCTTCGTTTTCCAAGATAACTGCCAGATAGTGCTCATGTCTCACGTGTGACGTGACTTGATGCGCTCGTTTGCCTCCGCTGTACGCTTGAGGCACTCTAACGCAGCGCCTCCAGAATAGCATTCACCAATTTTCTTGCGCGGAACATCGAATAAACGTTTTGTTCACTCTCTTCAGACGCAAGACTGTCGTCCTTCGACATTTGCAGTGTAACATGCAGATACGGGGGCAACTTTTTTTTTCGTCGGTCCAAACACAAGAAGAAAAAAAAATAAAGACGTCTTCTATTGAATCTAACAAGCTTGCTAACAACTCAAAGCTGTGAATGTGTTGCTTTGTTATTTTATTTTATTAGTGGTGCTTTGTTTGCAGAACCTATCTGTGCTATCAGCATGGCATGATACAAAAATATTCACAAAGTTCCCACTCACTAGAAACGGTAGATAACGGACAGTAGATTTTGACCTGTTTCAATCAAAATAAATGATTAATTGATTGATTGATCGGCCTATTTATTTATTTATTTATTTATTTATTTATTTATTTATTTATTGTGACGACGCGGGGGCATCCAGATTAGCTATCGGTGTCTTTTCTGATAAGTTAGCGTCTCCCCCGCGTCTTGACATACGCACGTACGGCAGCCTCACCGTCTTACACGCCGTTATACTGATCTAAAAAACATAATAAAAAATTCTATTTCAGACGCTACAGCGACGCCGCCGCAGATGCACGTCCTGATCCGAAATTGAATAAAACGCGCGTCCACGCGCCTTAATTCAGTACTGTCCGTTACGCTGAACAAAAACTGTCTGCTACAAAGGCGATGAAACTTGCACGAGCGCACGCGGCAACAGCAACGGGAGCATCGACGTCACTGGGGAAGGATGCAGTAGCGCCACCTGGATTTTTCTGCGCCAATTGGCACGCCAGAACCCTCCCGTTTGTACCACTAGGACGTTGGTTCTAGTTCACTATAATACGAACCCTGTTGCGTTTCACTCTCATCAAGTGCTGCCGGAGGGGGCATAGAGTCGAACCGGCTACATTGCACTTACAGCAGTGCAGCGCCAAGACAAATGGGCTACCCTAGCCCTAGCCCAAAAATTAGCAATCAGTTATGCAGAATCCCAGAAGGTGGGGAATGGCTTATGAAATAAAAATTATAGCCCCATGCCACTAAACAGGTGGTTGAAAATTTCGCCTCCATAAGCACGAGCCTAGTAGCTAAGTAGAATAGTAAAGCGACGAGCAGTACGTAAAGTGTGCCTGCCTATTGTGTATGTTGTGTGCTAAGTCTCGTATTGAGCCATACATGTATATATACTAACCAGCCTGACAAATCGAACCTTTGCTGTATCGTGTCTATACAGAAGCTGATGCTTCCACACACACAAAAAAAAGAACGCAACCAGATATATATACATTAGTGACTATCAAACTTTTCTTCCGCGCCTTTCTCCGCGTGACAGGTAACAAACCAGGCTTGTCTCATCCTTCGTTGTGTTTCCCAAGTGTGTTGTCTGTCACGCTTAGCCCGGAACATCGCTACCCGTCTGCGTGAACTAAACTTATACCTCACCGATTCCTCATAGTTTTTCAGCAAGGTTTGGCGATGCCTGCCGTTTCTTGGTCCGTTTCGTTGCGTCATAAAGTTCTCCAGCATTTCTTTTGCGTTCAGTCTCCGCACTAAGTGAT